TAGAAGAGTCCATTGAGTTAGAGGCAATTGCAACAACTTTCCTGGAGGAACTGCAAGGGAAGAGGAAAAGTTTCTCCTTCATCCAGTGTGTGGTTCACCAAAAATAATAGCAAAGAAATGAGACTGGCATTTAAACAAACCTCTCATTAATCACTAGGATTTTCCCCAAAAGATAGCCCACACCGTAAGACCCTAAAATTCACATATGTACAAATTTCAGTGGTTTCTCAAACAACTGCTTAGGTATTATGTAGTCTTCTAATAAGCAGGCATTCAACATATATGTAGTGAATAAGTGAATAAAAGAAGTGAATGAATGATGTGTTTAAGCCCATTAGTTGTCTAAATACAGCAAGACGAAAGGGAAAATTGCAGATATTTTGCGTCAAAAATCTTTTTTTTTTTTAGCCCTGATTGGTGTAGTTCAGTGGGCTGGGCATTTTCCCGCAAGCCAAGGGGTCACCAGTCTGATTCCTAGTCAGGGCATCTGCCTGGGCTGCAGGCCTGGCCCCCAGTTGGGGGCACACAAGAGGCAAGAGATCTCACACAGTGATGTTTCTCTCCTTCTCTTTCTCCCTCCCTTCCCTCTCTCTAAAAATATAAATAAAATCTTTTCAAAAGTCATTTTGTATTAGCTCAATATTTAGTCTTGCCCTAATAATTGGTTTTAGGGATAAGGAAAGGAGGAACAAAAGGTTATTTGAAATCTATGACTGTGATAGGTGGTTTACTCTAGTGCAAATTCTATCATGATGCCAACACTTCTAAGGGTTCTGGGTATGTGTATTTCATGTAAGATTTTACAAAATTAGCCCAGAACAATGACCGACTTGTAAGAGCAAGCCTCTACTACTGTTTAGTGGCTCTATTGTAATAGGGACCAAAAAACCCCACAAGGACACAGTCTGTCAAGCAGATAAAACAATGTGTGTTTTTAAAATTTTTATAAGAGTTTATTTAAGCCAAACTGATGAGGTATGCCAGGGAGCAAGATCTCCTGTGCCCCAGAACAATATGAAAAGAATCCTGACAAAATCCCGACAAAATCTTGGCAAAAGTGTTGCCAAGAAATCTGACACACTTCATGATAAAATAACTAAAGACAGGGCACTGCTATGACTCCATACTCAACCAAAACCAGCGCGGAAGAAATAACAGAGAGATTCAGGTTTTCCTTGGGATGGAGACCTGGGCCAGCCACCGCGTTTGAAGTTCCCTAAACCAGCCTTCAATGCCCTCCCTGTCTGCACAGAGCCCAACCCAGAACAGGCTAGGGTACCAGCTCTCAAAGGGTTCCAGGGAACCTCCAGGGGGCAGTGATCCCAATGAAGCTATTTCTTGATCAGAAGACATTACCTTTTTCACCCTTGTTCTCTCACAGATGCAGAGCAGTGGAGTTTTCCCAAGGCCACGTGACATGTTGTACCAGTTATGAAAATCAACCTCCTTCCTACAAAGGCATACATTAAAGATATTTACAATAATGTAGAATATGCCACTCTTTTTTGGAAAAATAATTGTTTTTCATAAATGATTCTGTGTAAATTCAAGGAACTTATTATTTTAACATAAATTAACATTTTCTTAATTTGAATTTCAAATAGGGTAAATATAAAAAAGTTATAACCTATATAAATAGACAAAAACTCTTCGGCATTCTCATTTTAATTTTTAAATGTATTCATTTGAGAGAGAAGGAGAGAGAAAGAGTAAAACAGATTTGTTGTTCCACTTTTTTATGCATTCATTGGTTGATTCTTGTATGTGCATTGACCAGGGATCGAACCCACAACCTAGGCATATCAGAACAACTGTTATGCCCACCAAGGTGGCATCCTCGATTTTAAGTGCAAAGGAGCTTTAAGACCAAAATGTCTGACATCTGCTAACATCTAGGGAAGCAATGAATTCTCAGAAGGTCTTTAGGAAACCATACTCCGGAAAAGCAGTTTATGGAACAGGCTACATGAGTACCATGCAAGACTGCAAAGCAGTCAGTGAGATGTTCTACTGATAACTAAAGACAAAATCTTAAAATGTGAAAAGTCACTCCAAACAGTAAATGACAAACAGCAGAGTATGTTGATGGGTGTTAGGATAAAGACTGCTTTTAAGACCAGTGCCTGTTATACTTGAATTTTATCTTTTGAACTCAACTTGAATCACACTGTTGGAAAGAAGAAAAGCTATCAAGATTTTAGAGGCTGTGAGTTACAGATCATATTCTCAGAGCTTAGCACAAGGACTAGCACACAAGAGCTCAGTGAGTTATTTGTTAAAAACAAATGAATGACTAAGTAAGTGAAGTCATTAAGTTGAATAACCTTGGTAGCAAAATCGCTCTATCAGGAAGGGCTTACAATGCCAGTAACTGGGGTGTAGAGCTGTTATCATGACCAAGCAATTGCCTTCTCCTTTGCCTCCTCCTGATCCTCTTTACTTTCCTTTTAAAGTCTGATCAAGGAATGTTATTAGCAATCATTTCGTCTAAAGCACGTAAACTCAGTATGACCTGCCCTGGCCAGTGGCTCAGTTGGTTGTTCATCATCCCATACACCAAAAGGTTGTGGGTTCGATCCCCATTTGGGGCACGCACAGAAGGTAACTGATGGATGCTTCTCTCACCCTTCCTCTCTAAAAAAGATTAGTAAACACGTCCTTGGGTGAGGATTTTTTATTTTTATTTTTTAAAAATATATTTTATTGATTATGCCATTACAGTTGTTCTATTCCCCCTTCATTCCCCTCCCCCTGCACACCCCTCCCCCACCATTCCCCTCTTTAGTTTATGACCACGTCTCGAGTTCTTTAGATTCTATATTTCCCATACTATTCTTGCCCTCCCCCCTATTTTCTACCTACCATCTATGCTACTTATTTTCTGTACCTTCTCCCCCCTTCTCCTTCTCCCACTCCCCTGTTGCTAACCCTCCATGTGATCTTCATTTCTATGGTTCTGCTCCTGATCTAGCTGTCCTCTTAGTTTGCTTTTGTTTTAGGTGTGGTTCTTAATAATTGTGAGTTTGCTGTCCTTTCACTGTTCATCTTTTTTATCTTCTTTTTCTTAGATAAGTCCCTTTAACATTTCATATAATAAGGGCTTGGTGATGATGAACTCCTTGAATTTGATCTTATCTGAGAAGCACTTTATCTGCCCTTCCATTCTAAATGAAAGCTTAGGTGGATAGAGCAATCTTGGTTGTAGGTCTTTGGATTTCATGACTTGGAATACCTCTTTCCAGCCCCTTCTTGCCTGTAAGGTCTCTTTTGAGAAATCAGCTGACAGTCTGATGGGGACTCCTTTGTAGGTGACAGTCCCCTTAGCTCTTGCTGCTTCTAGGATTCTCTCCTTCATTTTAATCTTGGCTAATATAATGACGATGTGCCTTGGTGTGTTCCTTCTTGGGTCCAACTTCTTTGGGACTCTCTGAGCTTCCTGGGTTTCCTCGAAGTCTATTTCTGTTGCCAGATTGGGGAAATTCTCCTTTATTATTTGTTCAGATAAGTTTTCCACTCGTGGCTGTTCCTCTTCCCTTTCTGGTACCCCTATAATTTGGATGTTGGAATGTTTAAAGAATGTCCTGAAGGTTCCTAAGCTTCTCCTCATTTTTTTGAATACTTGTTTCTTCATATTTTTCCGTTTGGTCGTTTTTTTCTTCCTTCTGGTCTACTCCCTTGATTTGAGTCCCAGTTTTCTTTCCATCACTATTGGTTTCCTGTGCACTTCCCTTCATTTCAATTAGTTTAGCCTTCATATGTTCTAATTTGTGACTAAAATCAACCAGTTCTGTGAGCATCCTGATCACTAATGCTTTGAACTGTGCATCTGAAAGTTTGGCTATTTCTTTGTCGCTTAGAGTTATTGGCTCTGGGGCTTTGAACTGTTCATCTTGAGCCATGTTTTGCTCTGTTGGCGCCTGTTAGGTATGAGTAGCAGAGCCTTAGGTGTTCACCAGGGCGGGGCCACCCAGGTCGCTGGTTTGTGACACTGTATGTGGGGGCCGGGTCAAAGAGGGGCCACCCAGGACGCTGGTTTGTGATGCTGTATGTGGGGGTGGGGTCAGAGAGGGACAATAGCGGTCCCCTCTACCGCTTCCTGCTGCTAGGGCCTGCGCAGTCTGTCTCACTGCTCACTCCCTCATGGGTTATCTGCGCGCGAATGTGTGACCTGGGTCAGCCTTCAGTGGGTCCACTGCCTTGCGCCCTCAGTGGGTCTGCCTGCCGCTACTCCACACCTGGGATCCGCCCACTGCCTGTGTGCCCGACCCCGCTCTGCTGCTGGCTCTGCCCATCTTACCAGTTTGGCTAAAGGGTTCGTTGTTGTCAGACTTCCGTATAGTTCAATTTTCTGTGGTTTGGCTGCATTTTTGTTGCTAAAACTTTGTTGTTTTTAAACTTGGTTGTGAGACAAGGCATCATGTTTCCACCTACACCTCCATCTTGGTGGAAGTCTCCTTGGGTGAGGGTTTTAAAAAATTCACTCTCTCTATGACCTAACCAGAACTCTAATTTTTAACCCATCTTCCTCACAAAAACATGCTTCTCCTACATATTTCAACTTAACATGGTTCTTGATTCTTTCCCCTCATGCGTTACGTCACTTTTTAGCATGTCCTATGATTCTACTTCTAAAGCACAAACTGTATTTATCCACTTCTCTCCATCCCTATCCTATCACCCTAGTCCAAATCGTTTAGATTAATTGAACCTAGCTTGTCTTCCTGCTTCCCCTCTGACGCCACCCCGTCCCCCTATAAACTATTCTTCCCCTAGGCACCAGAGTGATTTCCTAAAAATGCCAATCAGATCATACCAATCTTCTTTTAACAATTCGATGAAGCGTTCCACTGTACCTAGAATAAAGTCAGGACTCCTCTCCCTTACCTACAAAACCTCTTCATCTGGACTCCTCACCCCCACCCCTGCCCCACTCCCTCCCATTCCCACCTGTCCTGCACCAGCCACACTGGCCTTTCCCATCTCCTAAAAGGCCCAGTGCCAAGCCAGCCACTGAGTCTCTTACCTGCCAACTGTTTCTGCAGAACTTTAGAGAAAGTTGGCAATAGTAAAACCATGTTACGAGCGTTAAAGACCTTGAAGTCATTAAGGTCACTGAAAATAGCTATAAGAAAAAATAAAAGTAAAAATAAATAAAATGTCCCACACCTTCCAAAGTTTGTTCCAGCCTGAGAGCCTAGCACTCTCCGGAATACTCTACCAAGGAATCTTTACTTTTTTCCCAACTAGTTCCCAGCCCAGTGTCAAATCCAAGCTTTCCAGAGGCCTTTTCAAATCACTGGAGCTAAAGAAGCCTCCTTCCCATCGAATGTTTTCCGCATCCCTCTGGTTCCTTTCCGAATTACACTCACAACCTAAAATCATCTTCTGCACTGTTTTTCTCCATGGGAGCAGGACTTTATCTTGTTCATCACTCTCTACTCAGAATAGTGACAACAGTGCCTGTCCCATGGTAGGTGTTTAATAAATACTAAATATTGAGTGCATTACCCATTGCCGTTACAAAGATTTTTTTTCCTGGCAGATGACCTCAAAGAAAAAGCAAGGTCTTTATCACACATATATAAAGGTTACAGAATCTTAGGGGTGACCTAGTCCTAAGCTTTCTGAAGCAAATCAATAGGCAAGTCAACATACAGACCTATTCTCTGTATAACATTTTACAACTGATCTTGGTTTTTGCATTGGAAAGGAACTCCATTTCAATTCTGCATTTCTTAAAATGACTAACATATTAACAATGTCATTATGAAGTACATATACTTTTCCAACAGTTTTTAAAGATTTGTATAATACACCAGGATTCTCTGATGAGAAACAGCAGCCAATTAAGATTTTTCTGGCACATAGTAGTATCTCCAATATTCATTCGATAAATGAGATTTTAATGTTTTCTATCTGTCCAATGTTACTGAAGAAATTCTTCTCTAAAATCCATTCCTGCCCTGGCTGGTGTGGCTCAGTTGATTGAGCACCAGTCTGCAAACTGAAAGGCTGCCAGTTTGATTCCCAGTCAGGGCACATGCCTGGGTTGCAGGCCAGGTCCTCAGTTGGGGCTGTGTGAGAAGCAACCAATTGATGTTTCTCTCCCTCTCTTTCTCCTCCCTTACCCTCTCTCTCTAAAAAAATAGTAATAATAATTAAAAATCAATTCTTAGAAGAAAACAAGAGTAAATGAAAGCTTTTATTAGTGAAACAATTTATTATATTTTCAACAAGGCCTTTTCCTCCTATAAATGAGACAAACTACTTTATAATACTTTACAATATAACTTAGTTTTTAATATTTTCAAAAAGATTTCTTTGGGAAATTAGGAAAGTAAGTATTTGAGAAAGATTAACTACAGGAGGTTACTTTTTCAGTTTTAATATAACAACAGGCTTGTCTACCAGGTATGCTACTCAGTAATTTTCCTCTTAAAGAATCCATCAATTACTGGACAACAAAGAACCTATCTTTAGAAAATGAGTCAGGAAAGGTTTATTTAAATAGGAAACAAGCAATCTACCAATCACATGTCACTTTAACAAGGCAATTTACATAATTAGGTATTAACTTACTATCTTTATGTTGATTAAGGTCCTAGTAAAGCCTCAATTGGTCTGACTGTATCTCAAGTTCAAACTGTACTCATCTGGCTATAAATTTAAGTACCACAATGGAATTAAGCCCGTTTGACTGAGGGGAAAAATGCTCTTCAATATTGCACATATTCTTTCATAAAAAAATAAGGATTGTTAAGTCAGGGCCATCTTGGTTCTGAATCTCTCCATTTTTGTTGGAAGAAGACTCACCATCTCTTTACTAAGTTCTAGCTCAACTTCTATTTCCTGGGCAGCCTCAGGGTGCTTTTCACAGTAATCAACAATAAATTTATAATGTTCCAAAGATGTTGCCAAATTTTCTAGCTCTTTCTTGGGATCTGAAGTGATGATTCTACCATAAAGACGGGCAACTCGAAACTTAGCTAACATGGCAGGGCGGAGAACATCTTCCCCTATATGCTCAGGAAATACTTTATTTGGATCTCTCAGGGAGTCTAGGAAGAGCTGGTAGTACTTCAACGCTGATTTATTAAGATTATTTATTTTTTTTATGATGTGTGAATCAGGATCCCTTAGCTTGTCGGCAATGGCAACCTTCAAATCCATCATATCATAGTAAGCATGCGCAATTTCAAACTGAATCTGTCTGTTGACCAACAGGTAATACTGTGGATTCAGGTCCACAATGAGGGGCTCTAGCATGGCTATTCTACGTTTATGCATCTTGCACCGTCTCTCCATGTCAGTTTCAAAGAAGGCAAGCACCTTGAACAGAGCACTGTGGTCCTGGACAACTTCAATATGGTCAGTGACATAACCATCGATCTGAAAGAACTCTTTTGCCTCAGAGACATAGTGCTGACCCAATAAGAAAAGTTCTCTGGCTTCTTCAAAATCTAAAGGTCTCAAATAGCTCACTTTCTCTTCTACTGCAGAGATGGCATCGCAGAGTTCACCAGTTCCAAACTGCACAGCTTTTTTCCTAACACTTTCTTCTTCGTCTAGTTCTTTTTTCCTTAAAGCTCTAAGTTCAGATTGTTTATCAAGATCAAGTTCTCCTATATTGTCCTGAAAGAAAAAATAGTCATGGTTAAGTAGGACACTGACCTCCTGATGTCAAATAACATTAAAGCAACCGATGAGTAAAAAAGACAAAACCCTCTAACGTACTAGCCTGATTTATGGAGGTATTATAAATCTTAAACATCTTTTAAAACTTCTTTCCTCTAATTATATTTTATTTCAATTACATTAAAAACACAAGAAGTTAGGAAGAAGTAAATAAACCACTTACATACTTTATTCCTCTTTAGGGAATTCAAATTAAATACATATGAAAGAACATTAAAAAATGTGAAACATTATATACATGTAATACGTTATTGTTAGCATTAAAGTAAAACTGCAATGTAAGTCCTAAAAATATTTCAAACATGCCATTAAGATTAATGATATGATGTTTATTCTATAACTTATTTAGTGAAATATATTTCAAAGAAATGCTCTAGGTCTTTTAAAGACACTAAAGTGAAGAAAGTTAAATCCACCTTTGTAGTTAGTTATCTCTCCAGCGTTCTGGGACAAACACACACACATACATCTACATCTATAGTTGTATATAAAGACATATATATGTACATAGAAAGCTAAGATGATGAAGAAACAGAGTAAGCTCATTCTCCCCTTCCTGGACAACAAAATTAGTCATCGGATCCCTCAACGCTCAGCCTCAAGGCCTGTTCTTTACCCCCCTGATTTGGTCTCTCTAGACTACACTGTGCAAAGGAGCCATTCCCACGCTGGGAATGACTACCACCTGAAATGTGGCGAGTGCAAAATGAGATGTGGGCAGTGTAAAATAACACTTATCCAATTTCCGAGAAAACAAATGTTTTTATCTTCACCTGAGGAAATACTTACTGATTTTAGAGACAGGAGAGAGAGGAAGAGAAACGTCAATGTGAAAGAAAAACATCGGTATGAGAGAGAACACTGATTAGCTGCCTCCAGTATACATCACAAACAGGGACCAAACCTGCTACCCAGGCATGTTTCCTGACTGGGAATTGAACTCATGACCCTTTGGTCCACAAGACCAACCAACTGAGCCACACTGGCCACAGTTCCCAGAAATTTTTGTATGAAAAAAGTTCTAATTGAAACCTCTTAATTTTTAAATATTGATGACATAGAGATGACAATATTTTTTGATGTTCTGGGTTAAAAAAATAATTAAAATTAATTTCACCTGCTTCTGTTTTTTCCTTCTCTAATGTGGCCACTAGAAACTTTAAAACTACACATGTAGCTGGTATTCTATTTCTACTGGACAGCACTGCTCTAAACAGGTGACTCCACCCACACCCACGGCTTCAGTTCCACTCATGGGAGGAGGACTCACTAGTCTACAGCTACAGCCCAGACCTTTTTTCAAGCTCCAGACCCAGAAGAACTGCAGCTCCCTTGATGACATCTCCTCTCAGAAGATTCAGAGGCATCTCATCTGCAACATGTACACCCCTATTCTTCTTCAGCAAACAGGTTCCTATTCTAGTGTTATTTTAGGGAAGAACATTTCATCTATGTGGACGGCCAGCAATCTAGGAATCATCCTTGAGAAGTCCCTCTCCTCTCTCTTTACCCCATACTTCCAATCTATCACCAAGTCCTTAATGTTGTGCTTTCTAAATACCTCTTGAATCCAATCTTTTTTCTTCTTCACATTTCACCTGGACTGCTACAGTGGTCTTCTAACTACTCCCCCTCATTCACTCTTGCTTCCCCTCAATTCACTCTGCACTCTGCTACCTAAGTGACTGTTCCAAAAACCCTTGAAGGCTTCCATTCCTTAAAGGCCCTGCATGTTCTAGCCCCTTTCTAATCTTGTATCACATGCTCCTTCACTCTCTTCCAGCCTCACAGGGCTCTGTTCATTCCTTCTAATACCACGCTCCTTATGCCCTAGAACTTTAAACATGATGCTTCAGCTCCTTGGAATGATGTTCCCTCCTTTCTCCAGTCTAGGTAATTGCTACTCAGTCCCAGAGCTTCCTTCAAACGTTCCTTACTATTACATCTTTTCATATCATGCATCTTTGTGGGACTTGTCAAAGCTACACTTTTACACAAAATCAAAAACCAAGGTTTTTTGTTCATCAGAGTACAATGAGTAGCACAGAGTTGGCATAAATATTTACTTAAATACACCTGTGTACGTTTAAGTTTAACTGAAGAAGCCTTTTGAAATAAACATGATCAAATGATGAAGTTAAAGTAATTAAAAAAGGTCAGGTTGAAGAAAATCTGAGTAAGTTTTGTAGCATGACAACTATTTGGGTTTAATGCCGTCAGGTGGCATTAAACTAGTCTTTTCCAGACTAGTGCCCAGTCTGGAAAACGTCAGCTAACTGAAGGGTAAGAGTTAAACCACACGTATTTTGCTTGACACAGTAACAACTTCCAATGGAGGCCATAAGTCTCCAAATCTTGTTTACTTACTTGCTTCCTGGCTGCTTATTTATTTGCATGCTTTCTGTGCTGCTTTTTGAACAGAAGAAAGCTGACAG